TACTCCTTTCCATGAGGTATTCCAGATTTCAGTTGGGGTGGAGTACAGGTTCCAGAACCATGTGCTAGTCCTTGCTTTAAAATAACATCAGTGCCAGAGGAGGGGGAAGAGAATCAGCCAAACATCTTTCTCCTCTTCACTGTTAATAAACACTTAAAAGCTACAAGACAGAAACAAGCTATTTGGTCCATCTTGACCCTGTCATTGGTGTAAATTCCAATCCCATTTGCCCCACCCTGTTCCCAAGTTGTTTTATCATTTGCCTTTCTAGACACCTGTTCAATTTTGATCCATTTTCAGCTGCAGCCGTAACCACGGCCTCAGATAGCTCTCCCTCTATCCACATGGGCTTCCTTTTAATTCATTAATAGGCTGTAGGTGGCACTGGCTAGGCCAGCATTCATCCCTACCTGCCCCTAGAGGGCAGTTCTGAGTCAACCACATTGCTGTGGGTCTGGAGTCATACATAGGCCAGAATGGCAGATTTCTTTTCCTAAAGGACATTAGTGAACCAGATGATCATTTTATGGTCACCATTAGACTTTTAATTCTAGAAGTTAATTGAATTCAAATTCTATCATTTGCCTTGGCAGGATTCGAACCCAAGTTCCCAGAATATTACCTGGGTCTCCAGATTAACAGTCCAGTGATAACACCACTAGGCCATTTCCTCCCCTACTGTTAGGGGCTGTAGGTCTGGGAAGGATGTTTTTTGGAGGTTCGGTATGGACTCGATGGGCCGAAAGGCCTGTTTCCACACTGTAGAGATTCTATGATTCTATGAATGTGTACACCTGGAGAAAGTAAGACTTGAACCCAGCTCTTCTGGCTCAGCGATAGGGACACTACCACTGCGCCACAAGAACACTGTAGGACCCAGTTCTTAGATATTTCTAATCAACCTGCTCAGGGATGTTAATACACATTTCTGGAGCAGATGTGACTTGAACCTGGATAGTTTCCCAGAGGTAGAGACACTATCACTCTACCATAAAAGCCCTCTGCAAAGGACCTAGTTCTTTCTTTTTCCTTTTTCTTCTTTACAAGTTAGGTCAGACATTATTTCTAGGTTTTTTTTCCCCTGTTACTCTAATGAAGCTATTAGCAGTTGTTGATTAGCAGCCTATATTCCAGTTTCCTCCCACGGTCCAAAGATATGCAGGTTACGTTGATAGGCCATGGTAAACACAGGGCTACAGGGATAGGGTGGGATGCTCTTTGGAGGGTCAGTGCAGACCCAGTGGTCCAAATGGAATCTCTCTGCATGGTAGGGATTCTACGAGAACAGGAGCAATGGGCTGAATGATCTCCTTTTATGTTGTGTGGTTCTTCTCTGATTCTGCTGCGCCAAAGATCCAGGCACTGTGGTAAATCAATTTCAAAAATCTCAGTTGCATTTCTGCTGGTTGCTGAAAGGAAAGTCTCATGTAACCCTTCTTTATCACATCTTGTAGAAATATTTTAATATGCTTCACAAACAAGGAATTACTTTGAACTGTTGCACCAATCTAAGTCAAAAATCCCACTGCTCTTCCAACATCAATAAAAGATAATGGAGCAGGACTATGAAGAATCAAAATTGCATTTTATTTAAGATTATATTACTTGTTAATAATAGGATTATGGGGTTGGGCAGGAGGGATGGTGAAGAAGTTTCAATTTTATTTACAAGGTATTAAAAACAAATGCTGAGCTAAATCGCCCTTTAAAGTGCTCTGGTAGATCATGCAAAACCTTTTCATTGCCTCTGTTACAGTGCCTGGAAATACAAAACACTTGCTACCAGTTGCTTTCTCTCCATTACTCTGCGTAAAATCTCACCTCCTTTTATTGTGTAAACTTTCTTTCAGCCCCTGCCTGCAGGTGCAGCCCCTGTCTCTTGTACTTTCCTTGCAATTTGCTTCCAAACAGATTCTGAATTGGTCTCTGGGTGCCCATAGCAGTTCGTCACTTTGCAAAAGTTTCTAGCAGTGATGTCTGTTCTAGCAGATTCTGGCTGCAAAATGAAGTGGCAAATAAATTGGTCTCAATATCCTGAGTGCTTTCATGCTTATTTTTATGCACTCATGAGATTTGGGCATTGCTGGCTGGGCCAGCATTTATTGTCCATTTCTAGTTGCCCTTGAGAAGGTGATTATGAGCTGCCTTCTTGAACCGCTGTAGTCCATGTGTAGTAGATACATCCACGATGCCCTTATGAGGGAATTCCAGGAATTTAATCCAACGACAGCAAAGGAAGGGCAGTAGTTTTCCCAAGTCAGGATGGTGAGTGGTTTGGAGGGGAACTTGTTTCCATGTGGTATCTGTGCCAGGCCTGGGCTACTGTTCATTGATTGAACAAGACAGTTGCATGAGGAGATAATGGAATTTTCTTTGTTTCTAAACACTTGCCATTGGGACAAGTGTCTCGGACAAATCCAGTCTTCAGGCCTTGTCATAGAATCTTACAGCAGAGGTCAAGATCATCCCATCAAGCCTTTGCTGGCTCTAGGAAAGAGAGGCTTTTTATCCTTAGCTTGACTCCATGACTATATGAAGCACATCGTGTCAGCAAAATGCAACGCAGAGTTGTAGAAAGGCACGCTTGCCTTCATCAGTCAGAGCATTGAGTACAGTAGTTGGTACATCATGTTACAGCTGTACAATACACTGGTGAGGCCACCTTTGGAGTGCAAATTCTGGCTGCCCCTGCTATAGGAAGGATGGTATTAAATTGAAAAGGGTGCAAAAAAGATTTACAAGATGTTACTGAGACTAGAGAGTTTGAGTTATAAGGATAGCATGGTGGCTTGGTAGTTAGCACTGCTGCCTTGCGGCGTCAGGGACCCAGGTTGGATTCCACTCTCAGGTGACTGTCTGTGTGGAGTTTGCACATTTTCCCTGCGTCTGTGTGGGTTTCTTCTCACAGTCCAAAGATGTGCAGGTTAAGTGGATTGGCTATGCTGAATTCCCCACTGCGTCCAGGAATGTGCAGGCTAGGTGGTTTTGGCCATGGGGAATGCAGGCATGAGGGAGTGGGTCTGGGTAGGATGCTCTTCAGAGGTTTTTGAGAAGATTTGTAGCTTGGGTTGTTGATGTGGTTGTTGATTTGCTCGCCGAGCTGGTAAGTTTGTTCGCAAACGTTTCGTCATCATGCTAGGTAAGATGATCAGTGTGCCTCCGGTGAAGCGTCAACTTTCTGTCCCACTTGCTATTTATGTGTCTGGGTTTGCTGGGGTGGGTGGCATCACTTCTGGATTTGTTTCTTAGTGTTTGGTATATGGGGCCCAGTTCTACATGTTTGTTTGCAGAACAACCACTGAGAAACAAATCCAGAAGTGATGCCCCCCCCACCCATCAAACGAAGACACATAAATAGCAAGTGGGACAGAACGCTGACAGTTCACCGGAGGCACACTGATGGTATTACCTAGTATGGTGATGAAATGTCTGCAAACAAACTTACCAGCTCGGTGGACAAGTCAACAACCGATCCTCAGAGGGTCAGTGTGGACTCAATAGGCCGAATGGCCTGCTTCCACACTGTAGGGATTCTATGAAAGGCTGGATAGGTTGGAACTTTTTTTCCCTGGAGCATAGGAGGGTGAGGGGTGACCTTATAGGGATTTATAAAATCACTCACCATCCTGACTTGGAAATATATCGCCGTTCCTTCACTGTCGCTGGATCAAAAACCTGGAATTCCCTCCCTAATGGCATTGTGGGTCAACCTGCAGCACATGGACTGCAGCAGTTCAAGAAGGCAGCTCACCACCACCTTCTCAACGGCAACAAGGGATGGGCAATAAATATTGGCCCAGCCAACAACGCCCACATCCCACAAATTAACAGAAAAAATGAGGGGCATGAACAAGTTGAAAAGCCATGGTTTTCTACCTAATTCAACAACTGACGTTTGTTCCTATTTATAGGGACACAGTCAATGTTTACGACCTGAATTTAATTAAAGAGAGTTAATATACAATTAACAGAAACCTTTTTATGAGCTGTAAGGAATGCAAGTTAGAGCATCTCAGAGGAAGTGAGTCAGTCAGCACCTCACATTCAGGAGCAATCCATTAGATTTCCTGCATGTTGAACCTGCTTTAATCCTTTGTCCCAGCATTAATTTGTCATCCAGAAGAGTGCCAAGTCGCTGTGTGCAGTCCTCTCCATGCACCTGTCATTGTGAATTGAAGTAAGTCATGATATATTTGTCACTTAAAGAAGGAAAGCCCCCACTGCACAAAGAAATGCTGACCTCTCTTAGGCACAGAGATACTGCCAGAGATGCACTGATTAAAACTTCACTGAGATCAGGGTTCAAATCTCTGTGGAACATCAAAAATGATGGAGCCAGGGAGCAATAAAGCAAGTGTAGGCCAATGAAGCAAGCATACAAATAACAGAAAAGCCCCTGTGGTGCTACCTCTGAGCCAGAAGGCCTGGGTTTAAGACCCAATGGTACCAGAAATGTGTCATTATGCATCTGAACAGGTCAATTAAAAATATCTAATAAGGGTATTTAGCTGGGCTTGCCTTTCTTGTAAAAGCATCTCTGACTACCTTCTTGATATAGAATCACAGAATCCCTACAATGTAGAAAAAGGCCATTTGACCCATCAAGTTTACACTGACCCTCAAAACAATATCCTATCCAGACCCAACCCTTCACTCTATCCCTGTAACCCCACATTAACGCACCTAGCCTGCACACTAATGGGGCAATTTAGCATCACCAATCCACCTAACCTGTACATCTTTGGACTGTGGGAGGAAACCCATGCAGACATGGCAAGAACATGAATACGCCACACAGAAAGTCACTCTAGGCTGGAATTGAACCCAGGTCCCAGGCACTGTGAGGCAGCAGTGCTAACCATTGAGCCACCGTGCTGCCCCAAAATGACTTTTTACCAGCAAGAGCACTCCAACCTGACATGCGCCCCCCCAGTTTAATTTAAGCATGTTGAAACGCAGTTTATAACACAGCTCACATTCAGGCAAGGTGCCTTTATAAAGGGGGGCACCCAGATTTGAACTGGGGAAATCTCTTGATCTGCAGTCAAATGCTCTACCACTAAGCTATACCCCCTCAAATCATGAGCAAAGCATAATACATGGAAGCAGTGTAGGCCATTCAGCCCATTTAGTCTGCTCCACCATTCAATGTGATCATGGCTGATATGATAACCCTCAACATCACTTGTCCCGATAACCCTTGATTCCTTTATTGTCTATCTCACCTTTGAACATGTGTAATGACACAACCTTGACATCTCTCCAATGGAAAGAATTCCACAGACTGTTGCCCTCAGAGAGAAGGAACTCCTCCTTGTCTGTTTCCAAACTGGGCAACTCCTTACTCTGAGAATGCCACTTGTAGTTAAAGTTTTCCATTAGTGCAAATAACTCAGAAAATCTGTCCATCCAGCACAGGTTCGTAGAATCCCCACAGTGTGGAAACAGGCCATTCGGCCCAACAAGTCCACACCGCCACTCCGAAGAGCATCCCACCCAGACCCATTATCCTACGACAAGGTGCAGGGCTGGATGAACACAGCAGGCCAAGCAGCATCATAGGAGCAGAGAGGCTGACGTTTCGGGCCTAGACCCTTCATCAGAAAAGCTTTCCTGATGAAGGGTCTAGGCCCGAAACGTCAGCCTC